AGAGAGAGGTGCATCATGGGAGCTCTGCAGCTCCCTCAGAGCTTCAGAGGTTCAGGTTCTGATCCGGATCCGGATCCAGTTTCTGGATCAGCTCAAAAGGTTCTGACGGAGTTTCTGGGTCAGAACAATTCAATAAAAAAAAAATGTAAAAATCTATTATTTTCTGCTAAATTACCTCAATTAGACGGTCAAATCTTCCCCGGGACTCATCTACTAACATTCTGGGGACTTTATGAAGAAAAAGAAGGCAGGAAGCTGTTTGATCGGAAGGTTTTAATGAGATTCATGAAATTATAATGGAATTTGATAATGGATTAATCAACCAACTAATTACTTCTTGGTTAACGAATGAATAAATAAATAAATAAATAAATAAATAAATAAATAAATAAATAAATAAATAAATAAATAAATAAATGAATGAATGAATGAATAAATAAATAAATAAATAAATAAATAAATAAATAAATAAATAAATAAATAAATAAATAAATGTTATTTTCATTATTGTTATTTTGTCACTATAATATGATTATTATTAAAGTAATTAATTAGTTTAATAGTGAAATTGTTTACAATTAAATTACTTAATTAGATTTAATTAATTATATTAAATTATCTACAATTTAATCAATTTATTTAATTAATTTAACTGAGATTTAATATTTTAATACGGGCCAGAGGACGGATTCTGTCAGAATAATTCTCTTTCTTGGTGACTTCCTGTTAAAGAAGCAGGTGTCATGCAAAAAGTCCCATACTTTCATTTAAGTTGGGAAACTGGTTCATTTAAAGGTGGAAAAAGCTCTTCTTTTTTATTTCTGGTAGCAGATATCAGGCTCTGGAACCCACAAAAACTGTCTGATTTGTGTCTTTGCTTCCTTAAAGTGGCCCAAAGTAGCTATGCTAAGCTAAAGCTAACACAAAAACATCCCATACTTTCATTTAAATCGGAAAAGTGGTGCATTTAAAGGTGGAAAAAACACCCAAAAAGCCCAAA